AACAAGTTGGTTCTGTTCTATGATGTTCAATAGCATTAAAGTTACAAGGATTACCAACAGGGTGCAGCACTATTATTTCTTTTACATTTATGACAACAGCTAATTTGCAACCAAAAGGTGAGTGAGCGTAGCGAACGAACTTCAACCTGGAGGCGAGTTAGCGTAGCGAACGAGCTAACCTGAAGGCAAGTGAGCGCAGCGATCGAGCTCCAACCTAAAGGTGAGTGAGCGTAGCGAACGAGCTCCAACCCAAAGGTGAGTGAGCGTAGCGAACGAACTTCAACCTGGAGGCGAGTTAGCGTAGCGAACGAGCTAACCTGAAGGCAAGTGAGCGCAGCGAACGAGCTCCAACCTAAAGGTGAGTGAGCGTAGCGAACGAGCTCCAACCCAAAGGTGAGTGAGCGTAGCGAACGAACTTCAACCAGGACGTGATTGAGCGATGCGAACGAGATCATCTTGAAAATTAAACTTAACGGTACTTTCTTTCCATCGGTCTGTCTTAGGGGAAACCTATAACTTTGGCGATACGAAGTTCGCCGGGTCAGCTAGTTTAATTATAATAATTCATATTCATTATTATATTTTTTAATTTACCAAAGCAATAAATAAGTTAGTTATTAGGTGGTATCATGCAATAAACTATAGCTGAAAATCTTTAGTAAACACTTTTTAATTATTAGCAGAACCAACATCCATTGCAGGAAACCTAATTCTCATTTTTGAATCCAGTTTTATGTCCATGAATTAAGCTAAGTACATTAGAACCCCAGAAACTCAACACCGTCAGGACTTAAAACAGCGTCAGCTTTTAAAAATTTAAAGTTTACAAAAGTGACAGGTTATAGAGTAACAGCAATATTTTACGATTTTTTCTGTTTTAGTGATGGTTAAGAATGTATTTTAAAAGATAATGCCAGAGCTAGGCCTATACATATTCACTCTACACGGATATTACAGCAATTAAATTTCATTTTCGTAAAAATATTGTACGGTACGTAATAATGTTTTAGTTTAGTCCTTTCAAAGGAAAATATATGTCAGCCTTATTTCGAAACCTTAAGAAAGTGCCAAAGTGTCCCATAATGTACAATCACATATTTTGATTTCCAACCACCTCATTTGTAGAAAAAAATAATACTTAACCAAAGGGTTCCAATACAGTACAGCACATGAATTGATCAGAAACATGTATGTTAAAATCATAGGCCAAACCAAACTGAACCTAACTCCTCAGACCTTGACAAAATTGTTCCATGAACACAATATGCTTTCCATTGGTTTGACGCTTATCACATTCTGATGTATTTTTCATATTACTGAGCATGTATGGAACTTGGTAAATGCAAGATTAATTCTAGACTGTCAAGACTGCTCGACACCCTCACCCTGTACAACAATAATCAGAACAGCGTTCTGGTGATAGGTTGGTGAATAAAATTAAATCTAATTTAAACCAGTTTTTTTATTTAACACATCATTTATTCATTATTATTAACATATTTACAGGGTTTCTACAGAGTTTAACAATAATTCAATTCGGTAGAATCAAAATTCTAGGCCAAACATTAATCTAAGCAGTAAGAACAAATATTTTGAAATCTTAAAATAAGTGATGGAAGAAATTGCTACAGTAGGTACGCCAAAAGGCCTCCTTTAAGACTGTAAGTACTTAAATGATTTACTCAAGTCACACAGTTTCATATACAAAGTTTACTACTAATACAAATTATTCTACTGGATGGATTTACATACATAGCAATATGAAAATGAATTAATTAAAATACTTTTTGAATTATTAAAACTTCAAATTCCCTGAGGGTTTCTACCATCAGGGAATTGAAATTTAGCCAGGGGAAGTGAGGTAAACCTGGTCAAAAGATAGTTTTGTCACTAGTTTTGTTTCAATAAGAAAATGAATATAGCCTACGATAGGAAAACTGTAATCTATGGGTTTATTTACAATTAAGTTTATCATACGGCCTTAATTTTTAATTTATACACCCACAGATTACAGTTTTCCTATTGTAGGCTATATTCATTTTCTTATTAAACAAAACCAGTGACAAAATTATCTTTTGGCCAGATTTTACTCACTTTCCTCAGCTAAATTTCAATTCCCTGATGGTAGAAACCCTCAGGGAATTGAAATTCTCATACACATTAGTTTACAAAATAGTTAGTTTAGCATGTCAATTTTTGTACGTTTTGATGGGCTGCAATCTTGTTCAGTTATAGTAATGATGCGGGCTGCTTTCAGACAATCTGCAGTAGTCCCCACTCTACTGCTCTGACCTGAAAAAAGTATGCCAACATTAAGCATGGAAATTGTTATACTTGAATTAGGGATGGACGGGACAGGATGGCATTTTATTTCCCTAAATCATCAGGAAATATTCCTTCACAAATTTAATCAAAATTACCGTTTACCGTAAATGGTATTAACAACCATTTAATGATACAATCTGATAAGAAACATAAATATCTGTGTTGCAGCAGACCTGCATACTCAGCAAATTTCAAATGCTTCAACAAATAATTAAAATGGAGCCTCACATCAAGTTTTGTCATTTTTTGTTCATAAATAAGCATTCAAAAATATCCTCCATAAGAATAACATGGGAAATGAGTATGCATGTTTACAAAGTTTTCCATAAGAATAACATGGGAAATGAGGATGCAGGTTTATCAAGTTTTATTAAGATATCTTTAGAAATAAGGAAAATATACAACTTTATTTATTCCCCATTTAGGTTAATATTGGGACAACGTACTGTGTTTACCTCTATCAATATCTCGGTAGGTAACCACTGGATATATATAAATTTGAACGAATAGTGTTATTTGTATCTTGGGGCCCCAAAACAAAAAATTATGATGGTCCCGGGTTTAAGTCTTACCATGAGACCTACGGTAATAGCTTCTTCCCTAAAGGGGTATTTGCTAATAAATACCCCTAATTTTTACAATGATCAAAAAAAGAATGATTTTAACCATCTGTTAAGCTAATCAAAAAAATAAATGTACTTATTATTCATTTTACACATTTTAAAGAACAGTGGACTATAATACCATAGATAAAACATACTCCCTTAGTAGATTTCTCATCCTTATGGAACAGCTGAAGACAATTTTATTGTTAGTTCATGTACGGTTTATGTAGAGGTCGTGTTTTGTTTACAATTTGTTTCCCGTTATTACAGTCATTTAAAACCTCGTTTAAACAAATAATACGATCTAATCATAAACAATAACTTGTCCCCTAGTTATATAACCAAACAGTAAAGCACAAATCAAGAAATTAACCCAAAAATAATGGAAACAAAGTTTCATCGACACTAGGGCCTTTGTGTCACGTACATGAACTAGAGACGACAAACGTGCTTCAAAATTTACAATGGGATGAGAAGTCTACTTGTGTTGGTTAGTCTATGATAATACCCTAACTAAGAAAACTCTTACAAGTCAATAAAAAAAAAGTTGAGTTAAAAGTTAAGACAATTCTAAACTTTTCATGGGAAAACTTATATTTGGTTGTTATTGTTATTTATTTGGTTGTGCAGCCAGATCATGATGGGCATGGTACTAGGCCCTACTCGAGAGCTCTTCATTGATTCCAGAACAGCCCTACAATTACAAACAACAACAACAGCAAACTGTATTACCAATGTATTTGTTCATCCCTAGTAGTTAGGATAAAATACTGTTGTCAGATAAAATTTCATATACATATTAGACGGGCAAAAGTTTAACAAAAATATTATAGCCTAAAGAAACAATAACTGTACCTTGTTTCTTATGCAGACTCAATTTTCGGTAATTTTTTCTTTTAATGCTTTTTCCATTAAAGGTTTCTTCATGCGCTTGAATGGGCAAACCATTGCTTTCATCATTTGAAACTTTGGAGGTCATAAATTCCAGACATCCCTGCAGAATCTCGTTTCCTTTCTGTAGGCTTTCCTCATCCAAGTTCCACATCACCGATTCAATGGAGCGCCAAGTTGCCTTTGCTAAATTTAATAGGTGACGTTTGTTACTCCCCCGTCGTTGAAGTTCAGAGTAATGGGTGTTCAATGGAAGTTCTTCAATGTCATGTCTATGGTCCAAGAATTTGTCATGAATGGTACAATTATTACTATTCTCATCCTCATAATTGCTCAATTCATCGTCACATTTAAAAATGGGATTATCAAATAGCAATTCATGAACTAAGTTTAAATCAAACTTTTGGTAGTGAATGCTGATGAAGATCATGTGTTTGCATATTAATCTCTCCTTTCTAAAGTCTGGGCAGGTACAGCTAGATTTCCTATTGTTTAGGTCAAAATTGACATCGTACGTCATGGTTGAGTGGATTTGAAAATGGATTTCAGAAACAGGCACAATAACACAACCATGTAGACTTTCAGCTGAAGTTAGTCTATCCATGACATGAGTTACAAACCACTTAGGACGCCCGTGTAAGTACTTAGGAATTTCTTCAGAGTACATTCTACAGCTTGATGACATTGTTAAGTTTTCCCTAACATATGTCAAATACCTTTCGGGTAAGAACTGGCTCAATAAAACCGAGACAATCTCACTCAGAGAACATCCTTTGTACCCTTCTAGGTACGTATATTTTAATTCTTTATTGAGTCTTTCAACTCCGTTGTTTGAGTTGATGAACATTTCTAATGGTTTGTAAGCTAATGCCCAACGTTTGATCTCGGGATACCATGTGTTCTCAAAATAGTTTTTCAACGTTGACTCTTTATAATGTTTCCACTCTTTCAATGTTTTTACAGCCTCTTCCATTTTTGCAATGTTGGGGGCATTAGCAATTTTCCTTAATAAATTTAAGGCTTCTTTACGTGGAATTGACACATTTTTAGATTTTGATAACCATCGGCTCCAAGCCTGTTCCCGATGGAATGAACAGATGAAAACATTGATATTCTCGAAAACTTCTTCAAGACTGACAATTTCTTCCATGGCGAAATCCACCATTCCATACTGTGGGGTTATGTCTGGGTTGAAGGAGCGGAAAATGTTTAGCCCTTCAGTAATCGATTGAGTCGTTTCAAACTGTGTAATCATCACACCAACGACTTGGTAGTTCACGTTAGTTTCCACAACGATAAAATATAGAGGTAAAGCATACTTGCATGTTCTATAAGTCGCATCTAACAATATCGTGTTCTTTCCATACTTTCTGTAGAGGCGTTTCATGTCTTTATTTTGGAAAACAAAAAGTAAATGACTTGAAGTGGCATCCATTTCTTCTGCTGGGATACTGTTGTCATCATCCTTAAAGCTGTACGGCCGGAAGAAAATGTTATTGCTTTTGTCCTTTTGAAAATCTTCCAGATATTTTAAACAATTTTCCTGATCAATTGGACTCCTCTTAATTTTAAGTTTTGTTGAGGATATTATATTTCGAATTGTTTTCATGTCTGGAAAAAACTTTCTACGGGACCGATCACATTCATTGAGCTCGTTTTCAGCAAAAGCGTTTGCAAGTTTGGCTATTACTATGGAATTCCTTTGGCCTTTGACAACAAGATCAGAAATGAATTTCCTCACTCTTTTGTCGACTGGTTCAACTGCATCAGCTTCTTCTCCAATCAGATGATTTTTGTGCTCATCTTGAGCTGGCAAGTTGTAAAAATAGCCCTCTTCTCCTAAATCTGTCTCATCCGATATTGATTTCTTGATTAACTTGGAGGCAGCTCGTTTTTTCACATCTGTCATTTCATCAGTCACCTAAAAGCAAAAAACACTTAACAATGTAAAATTGTTTAAACCTAACAAATTATGCGCTAGAGACAGTAGAACCCTGCTAACCTGTCACCCAAGCGACCCATTTTTGAACCCTAAGGAGAGGAGGAGGACCTCCCCACTGGAGGAACATAAACCGTAGAAATAACAGTCATCCCGTAAGAATCAATAATCGTTTAACATTGTAAGATTTTGGATTACATTGTTGAATTGGGATAGATTGTTAAGGCTAGCGGTCAAAGTTTAATAAAAATGTATTATTGTTTTGTTTTTTAAATACCAGATGACTGAAACCAGATGAACTGAAAGATGGTGCTAGGCTTATAATTGCTCTAAACAAATTCACGTTGCAAAAATACTCAATATATAAATAAAAAATTTGAAAGTTGTAAAGAATTTATCATTTGGCTAGGCCGGGCTACCACAATTTTTGAAGGTCTTGGTTGAAAGAATTCAGTGCAACAATCATAGAAATCTGCTTAAGATATCTGGATCAAAAATTTCAGTGGTTTATGACAAGTCTGCAGCTGTCAAAGCATGAGACACCTACTCAGTATGTTGATATGATGTTACACTTCTTTTTACAGGATAAAAAATTTAGCATATTTAAATTTATATTTAAAATCTGCTAAAAAAAAGTTTTTAAGACTATACTGAACTCAACCTTTTTCGGACCGTAATATGAAAACTTAAAGGGATAAAATAATTGCAACTGAATAAATGGGGTTGATCTCTTTTTATTAATGACTATTGCAGTAACGGGCTGTACCCTGCCAGTTTAAGTAGTTAGTGGCTTTAAAGATGTAACCTCGCAAGGAAAAATAAGTCTGAAAAGAATAAAAGTTTATTAAAAATGCCTGAATAGTTAAAATTTATGAATAATCAGTGATCATGGATAAAGAACAATATTGTAACAGAAAACATAATTCAAGCCCAACAAGTACGTTCCTTACCTGGTGATTCATAAATCGGACTACTCTCTTGACAGTAATTTTTGCAGGACAGTCTAGTTTTTTTGTTGTCTGAACTTTTTTGTATCGCTTCACAAATATGTGGTCATCCATTGCCTACAAACATAAACAGGTTTCAAATTAGGTATACAAAAAGACTAAGGTATAATACTTCAAAATAGTAATTAAAACATTAATCTATCAGGAATTATGTTGTGTTTTAGTGGTAGTAGTGCAATGTAACTAAATGTGGGCAACAACACTGTGTAATGGGTCCAATAAATAATTAAATAAATAGTAATGATCGAGTAAAAACAAATGATTAATTATCGGAACGGTACGGTAATCAAACAAATTAATAATATTCAATTCAATAATGGACGCTTAGTTAGGTAACATGGTGGTTAAATTAGAGTCAAATGGTTTTAAGAAAAGGATTAATCATAAATGTTCCAAGAGGGCTAGATGAGAGCCCTGATTGTCGTTGACGAAGACGAAGGGCAGGATTAGACACAAATCGGTATTCTGGGCATCCAGTTGGATTGGGTTGAGAACTACTGTAACGCTTTTGAGCTCAAAAACAGAAATTTTCCGTTTTCATAGTATTCACAGTTCCAGGGTTGAGCAACCGACGCGCAAGCTCGATGACGAAGCAAGGCTTCATCACTTCTTCACTGATCTTGACACCGTTAGCATCTACGACAACTTTTACTTAATTAACATCGTTCCGTTACCAATCTTTATGTAATATACCATCTACTGGTGGTTTAATACCTGCAGTTTCGTCCTTTCGTTTTCGTTATTTTTTGGATACCTATAACTTAGTTTTGTTAAGAAAATAATTTTGCTCAGGTCTATATTCAATTAAAAATCTTATGTCGGTTAGAATTTCAAGATCTAACTTTAATATTCTTAACATTGGCCTTATGGAGTGAAAATCAAAATCAACGAATTGGTGAAAACAGCGGTTTAAATTCATCACGAGGTAACTTCAACAATAATTGACTGGAGAGTGTAGTGTTGGTTCAACAAATATGTATCAACAAATTGTTTACAAGCCAGCCAGTTAAATTGACTGTAATAGTAGTACTATTAATAGGCCTAATACAATTTATTCCTTGGTTTTATGAAGTGACGTATTACCGAGAGAATTCTCAGTCAACCGGAGGTACTTAGTTTTATCTCCTTAGTTTACTCTGTGAAATCTGTTACAGGACTGTGAAGTTTTATGTTGAAAGATTTTTTTATGTAAACATATGGTTAGGTAGTCTACCTTTAAATCTCGTTGAGCAGCATACTTCTTTTTTGCACAGGCACCAATGTCTTTTCCTTGATGGCATACGTACAATATGGATTCCAACCAAATGTATGGAATGTTTTCCTGCCATTGAACCCTCGAAGTTGGCTTGGAGATCGCAGCTGTAAAGTTAATGATAAACAAATCACTCTGTAGCATATTTTATAATATGAAAAAGACAGGCCTAGGATGGATCCTGACCTAGCTTTACAGCTTAAAAACCTCTTTATGTTGGTTTCCTAATGTTGGAACTTTATAATTATAAAAAATGTCATGGGTAATTAACAAAATCTTTGTTTATCTCATATAAAAGCTAGGCCTAACTTAATCCTCTAATTGTGTTCAGGGTGAAATGTTACACAAGGTAAGTAGACTTACCAATTAGGCCTAGTTAACTTAAGTTACGGTAGGGAAAATCTTAAGTTTAAAGGCCTATTCCTTACTTCACCTCAAGAGGGCAATTTCTTTACTTCAGTGTACCTTAAAACCTATATATTTGTTTCTTTTAATACTCATAATACTTTTTTATGAAATGGCGACCATACATAGCAGGTATTTTAAGCCAAGTATGAATGGAGATGAGTGTGGGATGAGTGGCGCGATCTTGTAGTCTTGTTAGTGACTATGGCCGAGATTCCTTAGACACAGCTGTGAATTAATAGCCCATACAGCTAATGGCAACTAAGGGACCTACAGTTTATACCTAGTGGAATCCGAACCACATTTTTTTTGCCTTGGTATACACGAATTGGTCTAATTTTCTCTTAGGCTACACACAATATTCCTCAGATTACAGCAAATCTCATTAAACAATCACATTTAAACTCACAACAATGCCTAGGTATTGTAACTTCAGTTAAGTTAGGCCTTACTTAGGCAAACCTTCGGAATTCGTCTCCACCAAAATGAATTTGATTGTTTCTACTTCTTAGGCCTATCGATATATCGATTAACTTACTGTTTGTGCAAAGTGGACTGAAGCATATAAGATGGTAAACAATGTTAAATCTTAAAGGCCTAAATTTTAAGCCACAAGTTTATTAAAGTTACGTCATCTTAGTTGAGTTAAGTTTAACCTATTTATTACGTTACATTACGTTAACTCGATGTTTTGATTAGTTCAACTTAATGAGTTAAGTTAGGTAGTTTAAATAGTTGAGGCCTAGTTAACTTATTAAGTTAGGTACCTTAGTTTTGATTATATTTCGGTTATAGCTTAGATAGTGGATTAAAACAATCGATTTAACAGGGTGTTAGACGAATTCCGAAGTTTTGCCGTAACTTAACTTTGACAAATAGGCTAGGCCTATAATGCTTGATTCACCAACAATGACTTTCAAACAAATAATCTCTGACCTGTTGGTAGTCTTTACGCAATTCTATTACCTATGCCTAACTTAATTAGGCATAGGCCTAACTTATGCAATATGATAAAATCAAAATCATTAAGCAGAACTTAGGCTACGTCAAGTCAATAGCCTAAGTGGGGGCTGCACTTTACTTTAGGTCCTAGCCTACACTCATTCGAATGAAAGTATCGATTATTCGTATTCAATTGTTTCATTCAATATATCGTTTGGTTAGTTAGGTTAGGTGAACCTTACCTAACTAACCAAACGATAGGCCTAACTTATATCGAATAATCGATATATCAAACGATATTTTCATTCGAATGAGTGTAGGACCTAAAGTAAAGTGCAGCCGTAGTGGGTACAGTTTCTTAACTGGGCTATGCTAATATCGATTAAAACTAAGTTATCAAATTCAAAATATTGATTAATCGTTAATTTTAAATAGGGATCTATTATAAAATTAAACTATCATAACCTAACCTAACCAACCAAACTTGCTGATGGTGAAAAATTCGCATGAAGGTTTACTAATCGAATCGATAGTTTCGATCGATATTAGCATAGCCCAGTTAAGGGCTGCACTTTACTTGACGTCCTACACTCATTCGATTGTTTTTTTTCGATTCGATATTTTCATTCGATATATCGTTTGGTTAGTTAGGTTAACCTTACCTAACTAACCAAACGATATATCGAATGAAGCAATCGATTAATCGATATATCGATCGATATTTTCATTCAAATGAGTGTAGGACGTCAAGTAAAGTGCAGCCCAGTTAAGAAACTGTACCCGCCTAAGGTATAACACAAAAAGTTACAAGAGAACCTGGAAGTTAGGCCTAACATAACTCAGTTTTTTAGTTGGGCTTTTTTTGTAATTTTATCGAACTCGAAATAAATAGGCCTAGGCCAACAACTTGTGTAAGTTAATGAGCATTTGGGAAGAGTTACAATAATACCTTCACGTTCGAATTAGAACCACCAATTAGGCCTAATAATTGAGAAAACCAATTAGTCGACTCACCTTTGACATCTAAAACTTTCTTAGTACATGTGCGAAGGTTGAACCTCGTTCTGGTAGTTGTTTCCATTTCAGCTAGCCTCAATGAAAAATCTTCATAGCTATTAGAGATGAAACATTTAGGCCTAACTACATTTTCTTTAATTCCACTTCCCATATCTAATTCCGAGTCCGAATCCATTTTGTCGAATAAAACATAGACTACACAACACCACAACCCCTTACCCTTAGTACTCCGCCATTTAGCTTTACACGTTTAGTAAGTTTTAGTTTACTTACTGTACTTTGTTCTTTTGTTTCGTTTAGCTTTCTCTTCTCTTCTCAATAATCGATTGAATCGAACCCATTTGGTCCGAAATAATATCGATACTTAGTATTTCGATATTTAACCGATAGTGCACGGCGTTTTTAGACGAAAAAATGCTCACCTTCTTAACTGGGCTGCACTTTACTTGACGTCCTACACTCATTTGAATGAAAATATCGATCGATATATCGATTAATCGATTGCTTCATTCGATATATCGTTTGGTTAGTTAGGTAAGGTTAACCTAACTAACCAAACGATATATCGAATGAAAATATCGAATCGAAAAAAAACAATCGAATGAGTGTAGGACGTCAAGTAAAGTGCAGCCCTTAACTGGGCTATGCTAATATCGATCGAAACTATCGATTCGATTAGTAAACCTTCATGCGAATTTTTCACCATCAGCAAGTTTGGTTGGTTAGGTTAGGTTATGATAGTTTAATTTTATAATAGATCCCTATTTAAAATTAACGATTAATCAATATTTTGAATTTGATAACTTAGTTTTAATCGATATTAGCATAGCCCAGTTAAGAAACTGTACCCACTACGGCTGCACTTTACTTTAGGTCCTACACTCATTCGAATGAAAATATCGTTTGATATATCGATTATTCGATATAAGTTAGGCCTATCGTTTGGTTAGTTAGGTAAGGTTCACCTAACCTAACTAACCAAACGATATATTGAATGAAACAATTGAATACGAATAATCGATACTTTCATTCGAATGAGTGTAGGCTAGGACCTAAAGTAAAGTGCAGCCCCCACTTAGGCTATTGACTTGACGTAGCCTAAGTTCTGCTTAATGATTTTGATTTTATCATATTGCATAAGTTAGGCCTATGCCTAATTAAGTTAGGCATAGGTAATAGAATTGCGTAAAGACTACCAACAGGTCAGAGATTATTTGTTTGAAAGTCATTGTTGGTGAATCAAGCATTATAGGCCTAGCCTATTTGTCAAAGTTAAGTTACGGCAAAACTTCGGAATTCGTCTAACACCCTGTTAAATCGATTGTTTTAATCCACTATCTAAGCTATAACCGAAATATAATCAAAACTAAGGTACCTAACTTAATAAGTTAACTAGGCCTCAACTATTTAAACTACCTAACTTAACTCATTAAGTTGAACTAATCAAAACATCGAGTTAACGTAATGTAACGTAATAAATAGGTTAAACTTAACTCAACTAAGATGACGTAACTTTAATAAACTTGTGGCTTAAAATTTAGGCCTTTAAGATTTAACATTGTTTACCATCTTATATGCTTCAGTCCACTTTGCACAAACAGTAAGTTAATCGATATATCGATAGGCCTAAGAAGTAGAAACAATCAAATTCATTTTGGTGGAGACGAATTCCGAAGGTTTGCCTAAGTAAGGCCTAACTTAACTGAAGTTACAATACCTAGGCATTGTTGTGAGTTTAAATGTGATTGTTTAATGAGATTTGCTGTAATCTGAGGAATATTGTGTGTAGCCTAAGAGAAAATTAGACCAATTCGTGTATACCAAGGCAAAAAAAATGTGGTTCGGATTCCACTAGGTATAAACTGTAGGTCCCTTAGTTGCCATTAGCTGTATGGGCTATTAATTCACAGCTGTGTCTAAGGAATCTCGGCCATAGTCACTAACAAGACTACAAGATCGCGCCACTCATCCCACACTCATCTCCATTCATACTTGGCTTAAAATACCTGCTATGTATGGTCGCCATTTCATAAAAAAGTATTATGAGTATTAAAAGAAACAAATATATAGGTTTTAAGGTACACTGAAGTAAAGAAATTGCCCTCTTGAGGTGAAGTAAGGAATAGGCCTTTAAACTTAAGATTTTCCCTACCGTAACTTAAGTTAACTAGGCCTAATTGGTAAGTCTACTTACCTTGTGTAACATTTCACCCTGAACACAATTAGAGGATTAAGTTAGGCCTAGCTTTTATATGAGATAAACAAAGATTTTGTTAATTACCCATGACATTTTTTATAATTATAAAGTTCCAACATTAGGAAACCAACATAAAGAGGTTTTTAAGCTGTAAAGCTAGGTCAGGATCCATCCTAGGCCTGTCTTTTTCATATTATAAAATATGCTACAGAGTGATTTGTTTATCATTAACTTTACAGCTGCGATCTCCAAGCCAACTTCGAGGGTTCAATGGCAGGAAAACATTCCATACATTTGGTTGGAATCCATATTGTACGTATGCCATCAAGGAAAAGACATTGGTGCCTGTGCAAAAAAGAAGTATGCTGCTCAACGAGATTTAAAGGTAGACTACCTAACCATATGTTTACATAAAAAAATCTTTCAACATAAAACTTCACAGTCCTGTAACAGATTTCACAGAGTAAACTAAGGAGATAAAACTAAGTACCTCCGGTTGACTGAGAATTCTCTCGGTAATACGTCACTTCATAAAACCAAGGAATAAATTGTATTAGGCCTATTAATAGTACTACTATTACAGTCAATTTAACTGGCTGGCTTGTAAACAATTTGTTGATACATATTTGTTGAACCAACACTACACTCTCCAGTCAATTATTGTTGAAGTTACCTCGTGATGAATTTAAACCGCTGTTTTCACCAATTCGTTGATTTTGATTTTCACTCCATAAGGCCAATGTTAAGAATATTAAAGTTAGATCTTGAAATTCTAACCGACATAAGATTTTTAATTGAATATAGACCTGAGCAAAATTATTTTCTTAACAAAACTAAGTTATAGGTATCCAAAAAATAACGAAAACGAAAGGACGAAACTGCAGGTATTAAACCACCAGTAGATGGTATATTACATAAAGATTGGTAACGGAACGATGTTAATTAAGTAAAAGTTGTCGTAGATGCTAACGGTGTCAAGATCAGTGAAGAAGTGATGAAGCCTTGCTTCGTCATCGAGCTTGCGCGTCGGTTGCTCAACCCTGGAACTGTGAATACTATGAAAACGGAAAATTTCTGTTTTTGAGCTCAAAAGCGTTACAGTAGTTCTCAACCCAATCCAACTGGATGCCCAGAATACCGATTTGTGTCTAATCCTGCCCTTCGTCTTCGTCAACGACAATCAGGGCTCTCATCTAGCCCTCTTGGAACATTTATGATTAATCCTTTTCTTAAAACCATTTGACTCTAATTTAACCACCATGTTACCTAACTAAGCGTCCATTATTGAATTGAATATTATTAATTTGTTTGATTACCGTACCGTTCCGATAATTAATCATTTGTTTTTACTCGATCATTACTATTTATTTAATTATTTATTGGACCCATTACACAGTGTTGTTGCCCACATTTAGTTACATTGCACTACTACCACTAAAACACAACATAATTCCTGATAGATTAATGTTTTAATTACTATTTTGAAGTATTATACCTTAGTCTTTTTGTATACCTAATTTGAAACCTGTTTATGTTTGTAGGCAATGGATGACCACATATTTGTGAAGCGATACAAAAAAGTTCAGACAACAAAAAAACTAGACTGTCCTGCAAAAATTACTGTCAAGAGAGTAGTCCGATTTATGAATCACCAGGTAAGGAACGTACTTGTTGGGCTTGAATTATGTTTTCTGTTACAATATTGTTCTTTATCCATGATCACTGATTATTCATAAATTTTAACTATTCAGGCATTTTTAATAAACTTTTATTCTTTTCAGACTTATTTTTCCTTGCGAGGTTACATCTTTAAAGCCACTAACTACTTAAACTGGCAGGGTACAGCCCGTTACTGCAATAGTCATTAATAAAAAGAGATCAACCCCATTTATTCAGTTGCAATTATTTTATCCCTTTAAGTTTTCATATTACGGTCCGAAAAAGGTTGAGTTCAGTATAGTCTTAAAAACTTTTTTTTAGCAGATTTTAAATATAAATTTAAATATGCTAAATTTTTTATCCTGTAAAAAGAAGTGTAACATCATATCAACATACTGAGTAGGTGTCTCATGCTTTGACAGCTGCAGACTTGTCATAAACCACTGAAATTTTTGATCCAGATATCTTAAGCAGATTTCTATGATTGTTGCACTGAATTCTTTCAACCAAGACCTTCAAAAATTGTGGTAGCCCGGCCTAGCCAAATGATAAATTCTTTACAACTTTCAAATTTTTTATTTATATATTGAGTATTTTTGCAACGTGAATTTGTTTAGAGCAATTATAAGCCTAGCACCATCTTTCAGTTCATCTGGTTTCAGTCATCTGGTATTTAAAAAACAAAACAATAATACATTTTTATTAAACTTTGACCGCTAGCCTTAACAATCTATCCCAATTCAACAATGTAATCCAAAATCTTACAATGTTAAACGATTATTGATTCTTACGGGATGACTGTTATTTCTACGGTTTATGTTCCTCCAGTGGGGAGGTCCTCCTCCTCTCCTTAGGGTTCAAAAATGGGTCGCTTGGGTGACAGGTTAGCAGGGTTCTACTGTCTCTAGCGCATAATTTGTTAGGTTTAAACAATTTTACATTGTTAAGTGTTTTTTGCTTTTAGGTGACTGATGAAATGACAGATGTGAAAAAACGAGCTGCCTCCAAGTTAATCAAGAAATCAATATCGGATGAGACAGATTTAGGAGAAGAGGGCTATTTTTACAACTTGCCAGCTCAAGATGAGCACAAAAATCATCTGATTGGAGAAGAAGCTGATGCAGTTGAACCAGTCGACAAAAGAGTGAGGAAATTCATTTCTGATCTTGTTGTCAAAGGCCAAAGGAATTCCATAGTAATAGCCAAACTTGCAAACGCTTTTGCTGAAAACGAGCTCAATGAATGTGATCGGTCCCGTAGAAAGTTTTTTCCAGACATGAAAACAATTCGAAATATAATATCCTCAACAAAACTTAAAATTAAGAGGAGTCCAATTGATCAGGAA